GCTGCTGGCTGATGCGAACAGAGGGCATGTGCACAAGAACACCCACACTTGCAGATGGTACCCACGTGACCGGGACCAGACGACTGGATGATCAGAGCTCAACCAGGAGAAGAAAGAAGGGGGGGTAGAGATTGAGCTGATTCAATCTGATGAACTTGACCTATACCTACGAATGCAGTGACTCAAAAGAGGCAACATATCCTTACAGCAAGAAACATTCCCACCCCCTCCACACACAGAGTAGACAGAGAGGGGCAACTTGGACATTGGACACTCAAATGGAGAGGGAGGGACTACAAAGGCAAGAAGTGACTGGCTTACAAGCTTTCAAGAGGGAACCTAGAGCTAGGGGGCATGGAGGAAGGCAGACTCACCAGTGAGTACTATCCAATCTGTCTAGGTGGAGCTGATGAAATACAGATGGGTTACTCTTGATACTGTAGTGAATAAGGGTTATCAAGATGGATTGTGAGGGTTGGAAATGCAAAGGTAGATGTTTAGTAGCAAGGAAGGGAGTGATTATTTCTCCAGTGTAGGAGCGGAGGTCTCTGGGACCACCAACGGAGAAGAGCCGAGAGCGGTACCCTACGCAGAGAAGCAGAGATGCCTGAGATGGAGACAGAGACAATGACGTGGAGTGATGAAGCAGCTGGGGACTTTGGATCCAGAGAGGGAAAGGGACTGTGGGCCAAAGACTGGGGGGCGGGAAGGGTAGAGGACGGGTTTCTAGGATATACCCTTTGGTCGGAAGATGGTCCATGGAGGGGATTGGAACCATGGCAATGAAATGATATACGATGGAATGAATGTAAAACTAAAAGTTCTCTCATGTAAACTATCATATAATTCACAATAAAACATTTTTTTTTAAAAAGCCCTCTGGAGCAGAGTCCTGCTCTCACACACATGGGGTTATCATGAATCAGAGACGATTGGACAGCACCTGGAGTGCTTATTATGGGACTCAAATGAGAAAACACACAATGGTAGGCAGACTGGAGGCACTCAGCAAACATTACTGCTCTGACCACCCCTGCTAATTTTGTAGCTTTATACGAAGGGGTTTCAAAAAGTTCAAGGAAAAATGGATTTGAAATAGAAAGGAATTCCCCCCTTCCCCCCCACTTTTTGAAGCCCTCTTGTGTTGAAGGGATTCATACTTTTAGGGACTTTAATCTTAATCACTGATGTGCCTGAGTGGTGCAAACCATGTGCATTCAGCTGTTAAGCAGAAGGTTCGCAGTTTGAAGCCACTTGGGTGCTGCGGAAGAAAGGCCTGCCTGTTGATCAGCTACCATAAAGACTTCAGCCAAGAAAACTGTAAAGAGCAGTTTTATTCTGTAACACACGGGATCACCACAAAGTTGAACCGACCATTTTAATCTTGATCATTGAGGATCTGACTTTCTATTTCAAATGTGGCCTCTTTATTGGGCCCAGTATCCCATATATCCACATTGTGTGTTTGGAAGAACTCTCCCTACTGTGGTGCTATCCCTGCCCCATTACATGGTGGTGGCAGGGTATTGTGGAGTTGGTTCCGACTCATAAGCGACCATGCATAGGGTTTCTGAGGATGTAAACCTTTACAGGAGTAGAAAGCCTCGTCTTTCTCCCACAGAACCACTGGTAGTTTTGAACTGCTGACCTTGAGGTTAGCAGCCCTACTTGTAACTACCATGCTACCAGAGCTCCTTGCCCTATTACATAGGCACAGACTGTGGTCTCCAGAAGTAAATTCTGACTGCCCTTCCTCCCAATCACAGGCACCTTGGGAGATGGGTTTGGAGTTGGGGTCTAGGTTACTGCTGTGTGACAAAGAATAAAAGGAAGGGAATTCGATTTTTGACAGGAGTGTGAATGTCCAACTTTCCTTCTCCTATTCTTTCCTTCCCAAGGTTTGATGTTTACAATCTCTGGTTTTAATACTTGAGACTATGCCCCCCTACCTGTTCCTTTCTCTTTTTGAGAAATCTCTTCAGAAAATATGAAATTAAGGTGTTTCCATTCCCATTTCCAAAGCAGAGTCCAGGCCTCATCAGGTAATTATTGAACCCAAAGAGACCTTTTGAAGCCAAAATCCAAATAATCCGCTTAGCTGGGGTCAGGCTAATACATAAGTAACTTGAAAATTGAGACAAAGCCTCTTCCAGCAAGGCCTTTCTCATGCTTTTATGTAACACTAATATGAGTATGAGTCCTGGTGTGGCACTGGGGATTAATGCACCAGACTGCAAAGCCATTTGAACTGCAAGGT